ATAGTAAAAAATGCTACATAACTCAAATATAGACCATCCCAGCCGTTGGGTTACATTTTTAACCCAATGTTTGGGTTTGTCCACAGTTTACCCAAAATTGGGTTTGAACAACCCAACATTTTTTTAGAATGTAAATTCTGCATAATTACATGTAACTAACTAAACCAAACCTTAACTCCGTAGTAAAAAATGCTGTATAACTCAAATATAGACCAACCCAGCCATTGGGTTACATTTTTAACCCAATGTTTGGGTGTGTCCACATGTAGCTGACCCTAAACCAAACTCTAACTCTATAGTAAAAAATGCTGGGTTGTTTTAACTCTAGTATAGACAAACCCATCTTGTTGGGTTACATTTTTAACCCAATGTTTGGGTTCATCCACATTTTACCCAAAAATGGGCTAAAACAACCCAACTTTTTTTTAGACTGTAAACGATGCACATGTAACTAACCCTAAACCAAACCCTAACTCTGTATTGAATTGGACTACGTCCCCTTAAAATAAAGTGGCGTCGAACACCTCGTCCACATGGACAGGAATAATTGCAGTGAATCCTGGAGAGTGATCCGAATCACTGTCAGCTTTTACAGGGTTGCGCACCGCGGCTAATCTCCTCCAGACAGTTACAGTCGGCCACGGCTGAACAAAAGGCCCGGCGGTCTCGACCCGATGACCCTGTGAACGGTCAGCTCTCGCTGGACGCTCAGGAGAGCGGTTGGACAGTTTCTCCAGCTGCTCCAGAAGCCACTGAAACCTGCCAGATGGACACACTTTCAGAACAATGAGAGTTTACTGCGCTCGTCCGAGGGCCGTACGGGTCAACAGACGCCCCGGCGTGAACTCGCGACTCGACTCGCCGAGAGATAACCCTTGGTTCCTCCTCATCCGGACCGGTCCAGAGACTCCTGAGGTCTGCTCAACAGTTCTGGGATGGCGGATCTACGTTGAGGAACCAAGCCTGTTTAATGAGGCGTGTGATTGGTGCCCTCCTTCCCCGCACAACACACTCCATTCACAGGCGTGATTGATTATGACACACACACAATGGAGAGCTGGTGTCAGGACCGTCCCGCTCAACCTCTGACCAGCGGACGACACCGCGCTGCTCACTTCTCCTGTTTACGCACACACACGGGAAGATGCACGAACAATAAACTCGTAACATTATTTATTGCATCAATGTATAGGCTGTATATTTATACATGCTACTTTTGATCTTAAAAACTTGTTTCAGTAAATGTTGACATGAACTACAAAACTTCTACGGCATCTTTGATAATGTTGTTAACTTATTGTTAAAACCAATGCATTTACGTCTTACATTTGTTTCTAATGATTTGCACAATTGCATATAGTATTTAGTGCATGAACAAACAATAAGCAATATCAAGTTTTATGTTAATATGTTAACAAATTTTTGATTTAAAAAATATTTACTAAATGTTGACAATAAGATATATTGTTAACTTTAAACTTCTTACTCTATTTGATTTGCACAGTTGCATATATAGATATATATATATATATATATATATATATACTGTCACTTATTGCTTCTTTTACTTTATTTACCTCTGGACAATAATTTGCCCGTCATGTGCACTTTACAATAAGTTCTCATTTATTAACATTATTTAGTGCATGAAGAAAGTGTTTTCACGGCATCTGATAACTTTAGATCTTAAAAAGTGTTTTAGTAAATGTTAACATTAACCAAGATGTTGTAGAATTATTGTTCATTGTTGTAAAGTGTTACCAATGCATTTACTTCTTACACTCTAAGCAATGCTGGGTTGTTTTAACCCAAATTTGGGTCAAATATGGACAAACCCAAATGTTGGGTTAAAAATGTCATTTAAAACTTTAACCCAACTTCAACTTTCACTTTTATCTGTAATTTTTGTTATTACATTTTTAACCCAACATTTGGGTTTGTCCATATTTGACCTAAATTTGGGTTGAAACAACCCAGCACTTTTTAGAATCAACTATTTGTATCGAATGATTTACACAATACACTGTCGTTGTCAGTGTTTGTCTTTATTTAGCTCTGGGCAATAATGTTTATTATTCTCTTATATTTATCATACTCTTTGTACACTCTAAAAAATGTTGGGTTGTTTTAACCCAACTTTGGGTCAAATATGGACAAACCCGAAATGTTGGGTTAAAAATGTAATGTAAAAATTTAACCCAACGGCTGGGTTAGTCCATATTTGACCCAAAGTTGGGTTAAAACAACCCAGCATTTTTTACAGTGTAATATTTAGGAGGATCTGCTGACAGAAATGCAATATCATATACATATCTATGTTTTTAGTGGTGTATAAAGATCTTATATAATGAAGCGTTATGTTTTTATTTAAAGCGTTAAGCATTATATAAATACACACATATGCATGTACACATTTAAGAAATATTTGCACGTACAGTACTTCATATAAATAGAAATATTTTATATATACATAACATTTTTTTCTTAAATACATGCATGATGTGTTGCTCTCTGCGAGTGGATTTCTGGATGATATTGCTCATAAACTCAGCTCATCTGAATAACTGTGTAAGAAACTTGCAATAGAGAATATGATGCATCTGCTTTGATCTGATCCTGTTGCAGAGACTCCATCACTCATCCGGCGCTCCTCGTGAAGACATGTATGATGTTCATGGCCCTTAAATGCACAATCATTTAAAAAAGCTGGACATCGCACTCCAGAATGATATATAGTTTTGATCCTCGAGGAGCTTCAAGTGTCGGAGAGCAGCGAGGATGTGTGTGTTCCTGCCCGTCTGCGATGAGCACGAGCTCCACCACCAGAGCAAACGCCTCACACACACACACACACACACACACAGGTCTATTAAAGCCTGATTGAAATGGGCCTGTAAGTGGGGCTCAGGTGCAGAAACACTTCAGCAATACTGAGATGAGAGGAACACAGCAGATACAAGAGCTGAACCTGAGAGACGCGCGCGCGTGCGTGTGTGTGTGTGTGTGACAGTATCACATTTCTATGTGCGATAATTCCTGATTTTTATCACGGTACAAAATATGGTATCATCACGATATAAGTCGCTATAAAAGTATCAACATAACAGGTTTAACAACCTTTTTTCTTATAACAAAAAGATCGGAACATTAAATACAATAAAGCATTATTATTTAAATAACACTTTACAATAAGGTCTCGTTAGTTAATGTTAATTAATGCATCAACTAACTTTAGCAATGAGCAATAATAGCTACATTTGTTACAGAAGGTATTATTCTTTGTTGCTGCTGTTCATGTCAGCTCATTAAATAATACAGTTAAAACTTTTGATTTAATAGTGTGCTATTAAATGTTGAAATTAACTAAGATTAATAAATGCTTTAGAATTATTATTTTTTACTAATGAATTAAGTCCCGGTGGAAGAGTAACCTCTGACCCGACACCAGCATCTAAAAGGAGAATTTTTACAGAGATAATGTGGGAGGAGCTTGAGTTTTGATGTGGGAGGAGCTTGAGTTTTTATATGGGAGGAGCTTGAGTTTTTACAGAGATAATGTGGGAGGGGCTTGAGTTTTTATGTGGGAGGACCTTGACTTTTGATGTAAGAGGAGCTTGAGTTTTTATATGGGAGGAGCTTGAGTTTTTACACAGATAATGTGGGAGGAGCTTGAGTTTTATGTGGGAGGAGCTTGAGTTTTTATGTGGGAGGAGCTTGAGTTTTTATGTGGGAGGGGCTTGAGTTTTGATATGGGAGGAGCTTGAGTTTTTACAGAGATAATGTGGGAGGAGCTTGAGTTTTATGTAGGAGGAGCTTGAATTTTTATGTGGGAGGAGCTTGAGTTTTGTTTTTTGAACTGCGAGCTGAAAGTATGCTACTCCTACATGCTAAAACAACCTACATGTAATGACATTAATTTGAACACTCTAACTACTGTATAAAATAATATATTTTTTTCTATCTTCTTCTATTTTTACTTTCTTATTTTTCTTTTTTCAGCAAACTATTGTTAACTTTTTTTCTCTCCTGTGTCATCTGAACATATTGTTGATATACGATATTTTGTTTATTGTATATGAAGTTGTATATAATTAATGTCATCTCTGTACGGTCTGCAATGATAATAAAAACTAGTGATTGGAGTGGCAAAACTCAGCACTCGGTTGCTAGGGTGTGGTTACACTGTTACCATGGTGATATTCACACAAAACAATATTTACAAAACATATGAGCCCACCTCCATGTCTATAGGATGTTTTAGGTGCTGATATAGGTTATTCATGTGTTTGTATGGTTGCTAGGGTACTCTTTATGGTTACTAGGGTTTGCTTTGATATGTTTATGGGTTGATATTTAAAGACTGTTTGCCAGTTTGAGTTTGAGGCCAACTCTCTTGACTTTAATAATACTTTTAAAACACTACTTACATTCTACGTCATGAGGTCAGAGGTCACTCTTCTGCTACGGCCGTTACCGGAAGCCAGTCATTATAATGTAAGGTATAATTATGGACATTTTTCTTACAAAAACGCTGGTCTTCGCTTCAGAGGGCGTTTATTAACCCCTGAGTCGCATAGATGACTGTAATGATGGATGGATGGGCTTTATCAGCCTTCAAAATCTCAGGTACCATTCACTCCCTGTATAAAGCTTATAAGAGTCAGGATATGTTTTAATATAACTCTAGATAGATAGATAGATAGATAGATAGATAGATAGATAGATAGATAGATAGATAGATAGATAGATAGATAGATAGATAGATAGATAGATAGATAGATAGATAGATAGATAGATGGTCTGTCAGATGGACACGCGCCGTTTGAGACGCTCTGGAGGAGTGTCGGGTTCGGGGACGCGCGCGGCTGGAGGCGGTGTGTGTGTGTGCGCGCGCGTGTGTGTGGCTGCTGCTGTTGCTTGGTGTGTGTGTTGTGTTCACGCCTCCAGGAACTCCTTCAGCACCGCGGACAGAGACACATAAACTCACACACACACACACACACAGACACACGCAGAGCTCCGGCTCTTTTGTGATGCTAAGCCAGCGCAGGTCACCAGGATTCCTCCTCCTCCTCCTCCTCCTCCTCCTCCTCCTCCTCCTCTTCCTCCTCCTCCTCCTCCTCCAGACTCCAGAACAACACGACGATTCAATCGAGACATTTGAGAAGTTGTAGCGCGGACCGACACACCGAGGAGCCCGTGGCGTATTTTATGAATCATTTTACTGGGCATTTTGACCGCTCTTCTTTTTTCTTTTTCTTGTTTCTCCCACTAATATTCGGGTTTTATTTTTATTTTTTTATTTTTTTTTCTTAACCATTCGCGTATTTTAATCTGTGTCAGAATGTTGTTAGAACATCCGGGATCAAGTTGTCAAAATGCTGGAAATTACAGCAGATACAGCTCGAGTCAAGGTAAGAGAGCTATGCTTGATTTCCTCTGCGCGACTCAACAGGGAATGTGTTTATAAAATAATACACAGATCTGTGTGTTTATAAAATGATACACAGATCTGTGTGTTTATAAAATGATACACAGATCTGTGCCTGTCAATCAAACACAAGAGCAACAGTCAGCCCAGGAATGATCAGCGCGCTTGTGTAACGTGTTTCATTACGCGGCACCGATGGCCTGTTTGAGTGGATATTATTTAGAAATGTTCATGTTTTCATAAACACCGTTAAACTATCATGTCAATAACTAACTTAACAATTCCAGCCTGATGTCATTAAATGCGCTTTTAAAAATAAAGAGTTTTACGCAGCGATTACTAAAGAGCCGGTTTGCGTTTGCTAAGTGTAAAGAACATTTAAAAATCTAAACAACGTTTTTCCACTATAAAGAATCACAGATGCAAATAAGAAATATTTTCTTTATTTTTTTTCTTATTTATTGGTAACATTTCTTTAAAATGTCTTTGTGCTTTTAACAAGAAACCATGATCTGAAGAGCTAATAATTACAATCAGCTCACATTAACAATGTTTTCTTAGTGTAAAGATAAAAAATACAACTTTTAAGAACATTTTAAAATTCCATAGAACCGTTTTGCACCATAAAGAACCTTCAGTGCATTGGATTCTTAATGGAACCACATATGCCAATAACGAACCGTTCTTTCCTCTCTCTTTACATTTCTTTAAATGCTTTTAACAAGCCTGAGCTAAGAATTACACACCAAACACTTTATAATTGATTACGAGGTAATCTTTTTTAACTTTCCTAAGTTTTTTTCTGTCTAAACGCCCGTCTGTCGGATGCCGTATGAATATGTAATGAGCAACATTGTTAGCGCGCGGAACAGATGTGAAGCGCGTGCCGTCACCGTTGCCATGAGAGACCCACGAGTGGACCGAGGCTCGTCCACGCGCACTTTAAAAGCCCAACAGGTATCGGGTTCCGTTCAACAGGTGCAGCACCTGAACCACACACACACACACACACACACCTGCTCTAGAACTACATTACACACTATACAGTATATGTGTGTGTGTTTAAACGGGCTTCAAGACGCGAATATCCTCACATCGCGAGGCTTTCTTTCATATTTGACAATCGTAGCGTGTTAAATGTGCATAATTATTCATTACTGACAACATGTCGATTAAAAAATACAAGTTGTTCAATGTGTTACTCACAAATATTTTAACCGTTTTAAAAAATTCGAAATGAAATGGCGTGCCAAAAACGCGCTTTTCCCCGCCAGATTTTGCTCCATCAAAGGCGAACGGGTCAATATGACATAAAAATGATGAAGCTGAAAGTAAAGGAGGGACATTGCGGCACTTTCACCCACACGTGCTTCATGCCGTCAGAAAACCAGCAAATGTGGCATTGATTTTGAGTTTATCATGAGGCACTAACGCTGATTTCCCAAGGCACAGCAGATCAGTGTCGATAAAATTCATCTGGATGTTGATCAGCTCGATCAGCATTTCACACAACTGTCTTTTCTTTCCTCAAGCAAACAGTTGTCCGATTCGAATCAATGTAGGAAAATTGAAGGATCTGGATTTAAAAGTTACACAGAGCAGAAATAAAAGCATTGCGACAACAAAACCGAACCCATTTCAAGTGAATGGTCACTCGAATAATTAATTCGTTTTACATTTGCATTTTGGATTTATTACGTATATTTAACCAATTCGGTGTCCAAATCCTATTGTCCGCCTTTTGTTGTAAAAAAAAAAATAATAATGCATGCAAATGGCTTGATTTAAATAACCTCAATGTCACCGTATGATGTGTGTTATTTGAAGAAAATGTCTGAGTGTCGAAAGTAATTCAAAAACTGATGATATGCACCGTTTTTGAGCATGCACTCATTTCATTTGAGTGAATGGAGGAACAACATCTATGAATGCATGGCACTCTAAAAAATGCTGGGTTATTTTAACCCAACTTTGGGTCAAATATGGACAAACCCAGCCATTGGGTTACATTTTTTTAATTACATTTTTACCCCAACGTTTGCGTCTGCTCATATTTGACCCAAAGTTGTGTTAAAACAACCCAGCATTTTTGTTCTCATTGGGTGCATTAGGAATGTGTCGCGCGCTTAATTGCAGCGGTTGTGATGGATTCGTCAGAAGGACACACACGTGTTTGTGTGTGGGGAAACACTCTAATCGAGCAAACACTTGCTCATCATGTGAATAGTTGAATGCATCATACACATTCATGGCTTATGGTTGGGTTGGGGAATAGGCCTGTGCGGGTTTCATGTGTCGCGCGCGTCTGCATTAAGTGTAGCTTTGGTTCACAGTGAGTATTTTGAACATGATCGCTGCTCAACATGTGAATAGTTGAATGCATTATTCGGTTTGGGGATAAAAACGTGCACTCTAAAAGTGCTGGGTTGTTTTAACCCAACTTTGGGTCAAATATGGACAAACCCAGCCATTGGGTTAATTTTTTAATTGCATTTTTATCCCAATGTTTGTTTGTCCATATTTGACCCAAAGTTGGGTTAAAACAACCCAGCATTTTTAGAGTGTGCGGTTTTCTCCGCGAGAAGGATTAAACGCATCAGGAGATATCATGTGGACGCTGTTCAGAGAAGAAAGCCGGCGTTGCCTCTGGATTGTGGATTTGTCCAGGTGAGGGTCATCAGAGGAACGGGGCGGCGTTTCTGTCGCGCGTCAAAAGCCACAAGGCGCAGCGCGCGACGCATCTGTCTCTAGCACGCGCGTGTATTCCTCTTCTTCCTCCACTTCGGATTTGCATGTAACTCTCGGATTATTGTCGCATGCATGTAGTCGCCCTGCGTCGGGATAATGAGAACGGATCGGGATTCGCCGGAGATGCTCTTGGCTTTACTCACACACACACAGCAGGAGTTGCGGAAAGGTACAAACTCATAATTTGCAGTTATGATTTTGAGTTTGGCAGTTTTCTGAAAGTATTAACATTGCAGCTTTGTGTTTAACGTTAATAGATGCGGGTAATTACAGCCGATATCTGATTTAAGCGCAATCACATCTCTCCTGTAACGCTTCTCGCGCGGCTCTAATGCTCGGATTAAATGCGTGTGTGTCGGAGGATTAAATCTCAAACAGCGGCTCAAAACAACATATGTCCGCTTCAACAAATCTCACGCGCACCAGCGATATTAAGACGCAAAATCAGTGTTTGGTTTGTTCTCAGTTTTCGAAAAGTCCCTGTTTGAATATAAGTGATGGGAAATAATGACAGTTTTGCAGAAACTCGGAGATTTCTGTCATTTATTATAGACTAATCATTAGAGATGTTGCTTGATTGAATAATTGATGCTCGTGCACCTGTTGATGACGTGTCTAGTGATGTCAGCGCACGCGATGGCCTTGTTTATGTCATTGTTATAGCAAACAGAATATCTGGAGTTGAGTGACACTGTATATAGAGGATGGGGATGTCGTGAAATGTTCATCTGGATTTGACAGTGACGATACAGTGAAAAATATGTCATAAAAGATTATTATTTTTTTCGAAATGTTCAGCTAATGAAAATTGTTGTTTTGAAGATAACAACAACAGCAACGATAATTATTAATAATAATAATGAGCTTTGTTTTTGTTATATTTATTCAAGTTTTATTTGATGTGATAGGCTATGCACCTGAGCAAAACAAATGTTGTTGTTTTTTTAACGCAAGTTTGGATTGACATCATAAACACTTATTGAATCAACATAAAGTGTTCTGGAGTTGTAGAATGATTACTGTAATAAACATCGAGTTGATTTATAACGAGACTGAGACATGCTGTAATTCCGTATAATAATAATACAATTAATAGAATCGATATCCTATTACTATTCATTTACAATAATAATAACAAAAATGAGGATAATGCTAATAATAATAATACAGTAGGCCTTTATTGTAAATGATAATTTTACATGTAACACTTTATTTTATTTAATAGTAATAATATAGGCCTTATAATAAAAATTTTATTTCGTATCGTTAAATATCAGCAATGTCTTTGATGTTTTGGTGATGTGTTGATATATACATAGTTGTAATAATTGTATTGTTCAGTAAGAAGGGCTTGATTCATGCATAATACAGAAGGCGCAATCATATCGTGTTGTGAATATTATCGGGTTGTTGTTTCACTTAAAGCAGAGCTCGATGTGGTTCACTGTAATGAACGAGAATACACACATGATGACGTGATTATGATATTAACGGGCATTATGAGTAAATAAAACAACACTGCAAACAAATGAAAAGCAACTTAATCAAAGCAACATGGCACGTGACTTTTGTCACTTATTACTCATAACACTGTCCATAAGGACCAACGTGATTTAATTTAATAGATTTAAAGATTTAACTTTAATTCTAGACAATTCGTGATTTATTCGGAAATAGAGTCTGGAAAGGAGTTAGTGTCGTTCGCTGTGAAGATGATCTTACACTGAACACCACTGGATATGTTCATAAACGTTCAGTTGGGGTTTAAGTGTTTACAGAATAGAATAGAATAGAATAGAATAGAATAGAATAGAATAGAATAGAATAGAATAGAATTCCATTTGTGGGTTTTAGCAAATAATCATTTCAAAACACAATTCTTAAAATACAATTTTATTTTATTTTTAATGGTTCGAATTATTCCATTTTAATATTCTGAATATGTTTCCCATTAAATTCCCACTAGCTATTTGTGCAATGGAAAAATGTTCTTAATGGAAACAAAGATGCCAATAAAAAAATACATTTTTATTTATTTATTTATTTATTGGACTATAATAGAGAATAGAATAGAATAGAATAGAATTAAATAGAATATACATTTAAAACTAAAGGTTTTATTTGGGGGTTTCTGGGGTTTCCGTGCACCCTAGAAAAACTTTTCAAAACACAGTTCTTAAAATAACAATTTTGGTACGAATTATTGCATAATAATATGGAGAAAAAAATCCCACTTTACGGCCCAAGCCTTTTGTGCAATGAAAAAAAAAATGTTCTTAATGGACAAAGATGCCCTTAAAGAACCTTTTTTTAATTTAGTATAGAATAGAGTAGAATTGAATATATGCTAATTAAATAGCATAACAGAATAAAAAAAATTAGAATAGAATAGAATAGAATAGAATAGAATAGAATAGACATCTAAAAATAAAGGTTCGGTTTTCGCAGAAGAACCATTACGGGTTTCCCCATCCCATATATATATATATATATATATATATATATATATATATATATATATATATATATATATATATATATATATATATATATATATATATATATATATATATATATATATGCTAATTGCTTTCTTCTAAATGCTTTTTTTGTCGACAACCCCCGTTATTTAAGTAGCTCTAAAAATACCCCTGTTTTCCGGGGTTTCCTCCCAGTATGTGACCCCGCACTGGTTCTGTGTTGTCCTCCAGATGTTCCCGTTTGCGCGGGCTGTAACCAGCACATCGGGGATCGCTTCATCCTGAAGGTTCTAGATCGCCACTGGCACAGCAAGTGCCTGAAGTGCAGCGACTGCCAGTCTCAGCTGGCCGACAAGTGCTTCAGTCGAGGAGACAGTGTGTACTGCAAAGAAGACTTCTTCAAGTGAGTTCTTCATCTTCATCAGCAACGCCTGCGCTTCACCAACCTTACAATATAAAATAGAATGTAATAAGTGGTGATGCCATGCGCACTTATTTTATTTAGTACAATAAAGTGCAGTTATTATTTGGACTAGACTTGTTCGTGCAAGCTATAGCCTAATAATCATGATTTTTTATATTTTATATTACGCTTGATGACTCTCAAAACACAATAGAATAGAATAGAATAGAATAGAATAGAATAGAATAGAATAGAATAGAATAGAATAGAATAATAAAGGTTTCATTTGGGGGTTTTCTCGGGTTTCGCATGCACCCTTGAAAAATTCTTAAAATCTCCATTTTTATGGTACGAATTATTACGTTTCAATAATCGGAGTATTTTTTTTTCCCCCAAGCCTTTTGTGCATTGGAAAATGCTTTTTAATGGGAACAAAGATGCCAATGAATAACCTTTTGACGTGTAGGATAGAATAGAATAATGTTGTAGAATATTATAGAATAGAATAGAATAGAATAGAATAGAATAGAATAGAATAGAATAGAGTAGAGTAGAATAGAATAGAATAGAATAGAATAGAATAGAATAGAATAGAATAGAATAGAAAAGGTGGTGATGCTTTGGATATGACTTTTGTTTATGTAATCTATAATAGTGATGCTTTTGTATTTTTAAACTTGCATGTTAGAATTCGTACGAGCGATTTCTTCATCATCATGTTCTGATGGGGTTTGATCTGTGTGTGTGTGTGTGCGCGCGCAGGAGGTTCGGCACCAAGTGTTCCGCGTGCCAGCAGGGCATCCCCCCGACGCAGGTGGTCCGCAGGGCGCAGGACTTCGTGTATCACCTGCACTGCTTCGCGTGTGTGGTGTGTAAGAGGCAGCTGGCCACAGGTGATGAGTACTACCTGATGGAGGACAGTCGACTGGTGTGCAAAGCCGATTACGAGACCGCCAAACAGAGAGGTACGTCATGCACTTCACGCGTAAAATATTTGTATTTGTCTTGCAATTTACACGCAAATTAAAAACCCTTGAGTAGGATTATTGCGTGCGTATAAAGTGCGTATCATATGCACGTAAAAACTTTTTTTGCGTATAAATTGCACGATAGATACAATTCGTGCTATAGATACGCATTTGCATGAGCTCGTGTTGATTCAGCAGGGAGGTTTTGTTTGAGCAAGCACAGTTCTCTAAGTCTTAATTGTTTTATTTCTTGCATTCAATGTTCTCGCATTGACTGGCTGCTTTTAACTGGGAACTTAATCTTGCTGGTCGCGCGCTCGTCCATAAACATCTGACCCGCTCGGGTAATTGCCAACCCGCCGGCCTCCGGATCGATAAGTGCCAACACAAGCGAGCCGAACACACACACACACACACACACACACGGACGCGATCTGCATTCGGCGCAGTTTTCAGACAGATTCAGCGCTTTAATTCTAGACCAATCGGACGACGGTGGGGTTTATTCGGAAATAGAGTCTGGAAAGGAGTTAGTGTCTCCATTGAGATATACTTCCATCCTAAACCCTCAATACAGGGGTTTAAGAACAACTTTTCAATACACAGTTCTTAAAAAAAAATTATAATTTGATATCATTTTAATAATTAGGCCTACGTTTTAATAATCTGATAATTTTCCCTCTTTTGTGAAAATGTGAAAACCTTTTGTGCGATGACAAACGTTCTTAATGGAAATAAAGATCACAATAAATAACATTCTAAAGAGTGTTAAATAGAATAGAATAGAATAGAATAGAATTCAATGGGTATGTATCTCGAAATAGAAACATAAATTCTAGTGTCTAATAAGAAATGCATTTGTTTCGTTAAATTAAAATCTATACTATTTTAAATCATATAGTTCTTCCATTAGAGAGACGCGAGGTTGTGAATTATGAGGAATGATGTCTGGAAGAGAAAGAGACCCTTGAGTGTCTTTAACACAGCACATAAACTCACATTACAAAACTTCATTCTAAATGTTCACTTCAACAACATTATGATTATAACAGAATACAAAAGAATGTAAGAAGTGGTGATATGTAATTATTTTATTTGCTGCAATGAAGTGCAGTTATTTATTTCGATTTGACTTTTGTTCGTGCAACGATTTTGATGATTTGATGATTGAATGATGATTTTGTATTTGATATAGGTATTATATGAAATACATTTTGCCCTTGATAACTCTCAAAATAGAATAGAATAGAATAGAATAGAATAGAATAGAATAGAATAGAATAGAAAAAATGGTGATGCTGTGCAATTATTTAAGGATCTTGGACTTGACTTTTGTGAATGACCTAATGATATTTTTGTATTTGATATTTTATTGATACCTCTCAAAACAGAATAGAATAGAATAGAATAGAATAGAATAGAATAGAATAGAATAGAATAGAATTTAATAGAATAGAATAGAATGGTATGAAAAAGTGGTGATGCTGTGCAATTATTTAAGGATCTTGGACTTGACTTTTGTCAATGACCTAATGATATTTTTGTATTTGATATTTTATTGATACCTCTCAAAACAGAATAGAATAGGATAGAATAGAATAGAATAGAATTTAATAGAATAGAATAGAATAGAATGGTATGAAAAAGTGGTGATGCTGTGCAATTATTTAAGGATCTTGGACTTGACTTTTATTCGTGCAACCTAATAATAATTTTGTATTTGATATTTTATATGAAATACATTTTACCATTGATACCTCTCAAAACAGAATAGAATTTAATAGAATAGAATAGAATGGTATGAAAAAGTGGTGATGCTGTGCAATTATTTAAGGATCTTGGACTTGACTTTTATTCGTGCAACCTAATAATAATTTTGTATTTGATATTTTATATGAAATACATTTTACCATTGATACCTCTCAAAACAGAATAGAATAGAATAGAATTTAATAGAATAGAATAGAATGGTATGAAAAAGTGGTGATGCTGTGCAATTATTTATAGATCTATATTAACTTGACATTTGTTCGCGCAACCTATAACAATGATGATTTTGTATTTGTAAACTTATATGAAATACCTCACAACACAGTAGAGAATACAGAAGCATCGATTCGTCATACTTTATAAAGCGTGTTGCAAATACGCCTCAATATTAATGCCGTCATAAAACGCAATGATTGTAGAATAAGAAGTGTATTCCTCTTTGACTCCCTCTCTGGTTGTGTCCCCCGGGCAGAGGCGGACTCGACAGCGAAGCGACCCCGCACCACGATCACCGCGAAGCAGCTGGAGACGCTGAAGAACGCCTACAACAACTCCCCGAAGCCCGCGAGACACGTGCGGGAGCAGCTGTCGTCGGAGACCGGCCTCGACATGCGGGTGGTGCAGGTACACTGACACTGACAGTGACACACCGTATACTCTCACACACTTTCACAAGCTTTGACACACAGCGGGACTCGTGAACATGCACTACTTTCCGTGATCATTTAAAACCCAGTTATGTTTTTAAAACGAAGCACATTTTTTAGGTTAGCTGATGAAATGTTGCATAGCGCACAGCCGCTGTATAAATCATTCTACTATTTCATTTATTCAGCTATTATGATTCATGCAGCAGGCTATTCCGTATTCATATATTTACACAATTATTCACTGAAAAAAAAAAAAATCTCGTGTCATTATATCGTTTATTTTTATTTAATGCAATCAAGTAGGCTCTTATTCCCTACCATATACACTATTTTTAAAGTGATTCGTGCACTTATGCTTAACTATTATTTCATGTAGAATACTTTACTTTTAGACACTGAATCGCGACAGAATTCATAAATCCGACACACAACATGATCGCTTTAACGCTGGTTTCCTTCCTGTTTATGTTTTGATTATTGTGTGCATTTTTATCCAGTAGTATGTCATCATATCTAGCAGTGTGTTGATATTAATTATATGAAGAAATAAAATAATAAATATATAGGCCTATCTATATATGAAGAGTTCAGATGCAAAAGCCTCAAATGCCATTTGAAATTGTCTTCTTTAATGATGATTTTTATCAAACTTAAATAAAACTTAAATTAAAGTTCAATAATTTCACTTAAATAACAATTAATAGGTAATTATCATTGCCATTTAAGTGAAATCACTGAACTTAAATATACAAGCTTGATAAAAATCATCATTAAAGAAGAAAATTTCAAATGGCACTTAGAGGCTTTTGCATCTGAACTCTTCATATATATATATATATATATATATACATACATTTTTCTTAGCTGTCAAAAACCAACAAGAGTAATTTTAAGGCTCAGGTCAGCTGATGTTTGTCAGGTCCAGTTGGGATGCGGTGAGAACTAAGCCATGTTTCTGCACAGGTCTGGTTTCAAAACAGAAGAGCAAAGGAGAAAAGACTGAAGAAAGACGCAGGAAGACAGAGATGGGGTCAGTACTTCAGAAACATGAAGAGGTCCCGGGGCAGCTCCAAATCTGATAAAGACAGCACTCAGGAGGAGGGCATGGACAGCGACGCCGAGGTCTCCTTCACAGGTGAGCACTGACCTCGCATCAGTGACTCCAGTGTCTATTTGGCCTATTTGGAAAATGAATGGGAAAAGTGAGCGTGTTCGCCAATTTTCCATTTTTGCTCATAATTACAAAGGTCCATTACAAATAGCAAAGGATTTTTATTATTGCATCATTAACTGTCGCCCCTTTGTGAGCTCAGATCTCAGCTTAAATGGCTGTAATTCCAGATTTTTTGGGAAAACAGACCTATTGGTCTCTTAAAGAAAACACTCTGCAGATTATTTAAGATGTGACAGCATTTGCTAGTGCATTAACGAACATTAACATTATTAATTAGTGAATATAAGTGTTCAATTTAGCTCCAAGTGCATTAAATAATATCAGAAACAACTTTTGATTTTAATCATGCATAAATAAATGTTGAGATTAACAGTGACTTAATTAATAAATGCTGTAAAAGTATTGCTCATTGTTAGTTCATGTTACCTTTATATTAGACAAAAAAAATGATTCTACAATTGCTAAATTAAAAAACATCATGCCAAGTTAAGTTGATTACGAGAAAATTAAGCCGCTTAATACCGTTTCCATGCGAACGCAATGTTCAATTTTAACATAGTGTTTAAAATCTCCAGTTAAAATGATGATTACTAAAGTATTTGATTGGGAGGAAAAAGTTGTGTGAGAAGAAAAGGTTCAATGGGGTTCTTTATAAAACCTTACACTTCTAGACTCAATATTAAATTCCCCTGTAGTCAAAACATGCCTTAAATATGGTAAATAATATGTCACCAAAATGACATATTTAAAAGGTTTTTCCTTGAAAAAAAAAAATGTATAGCTTGAGACATTTATAGACATAAGATTAAATGTAACACTCATGCCTCATTTGGGTAGTTCTATGAATATGCAAATGAGCCCCGCCTCCACTCACTCACTCAGCTCATGACGATCACACGTTTATCAGGAGTGTGTTTCCCATATTGTCACAAATTAGTCGTTCAAACACATTAGTTAATGATGTTAATGAGTAATAACTTAAGATGTTATGCTGTGAATTACTATAATTAAAAACAAAGTAACTTGCACTACTTATTTGAAAAAGTAACTGTTTAATTTAGAAGTAGTGCGTTACTTTACTAGTTACTTGAAAAATGTAATCTGATTACATAACTCGAGTTATCGCTCACTTTTATTTCTATCATTTTGATTGTGATAAGAACTGCCGTAGTCCATTGCATTTAAACATTTTCAAAAAATATGATTATAAGCTGTTTTTTATAACCTTCTCTGCTGACAAATCCATCGCTCGCTTCTGTTTCTCCTGGCAGACGAGCCGCCCATGTCGGATCTGGGTCACTCCAACAGCATTTACAGCAGTCTGAGCGAGAGCTCTCCGGCTCTGAGTCGGCAAGGCGGATCTCATCCACCGTTCCCACTGGATCACGGCACCGGCCTCCTCCCGTCGCAGGACCAGTACCACGACCTCCAGGCCAGCAGCCCCTACAGCCTCCCGCAGTCTCCCGGCTCGCTCCAGGCTCTCCCCAGACACCCGCCGCTCATCTCCGGCCTGGTGTTCCCGGAGTCCGGCCTGCCCATGGTGTCGCAGAACCCGGCCCAGAACATGAGCCGAATGATGGCCGGGGGAAACGGGCCGAGCTCGGATTTGTCCACGGGGAGCAGCGGCGGGTATCCGGATTTCCCCGCGAGCCCGGCGTCCTGGTTGGATGAAGTGGATCATGCGCAATTCTGATTGCGACGGGAATTTCTATGTTGAACCATCTCTATTTATTGGAAATTGGTTGGCGACGGAGACTCGAGTCTCGACGAGGACGTCTGTTTGGTTCTACAAGGACACGACAGTGTGAGGAGCTTTTACGCATCCACACAACGATAAAGATATAGGTGTAAAAATCGGTTTAAATATGAAAGAATAGCAGAATCCACATCAGAACTATATATCCGGATCTGGCCGACACTATGTTGATGTCGGCACAGAGAAACGATATGGTTGGAATCACTTTCATAAAAACATCAACAGCCAATCAGAATCCAGCCTGAGAATTTAAAGTGGCAGAGACAGAAATAAACAAAATGACATCATGCCGATATCCGGACTTCGCCGCCAGCCCGCCGTCCTAGTTGGATGAAGTTGATCATCTGATGCACATTTGGAGAGTGACGGGAATTTCTATGTGGATGCCGAACCTTGAACCATCTCTATTATTCTGTAGAGTTGGACATTTAGGAATTGGTTAGCGATGACGAGGACTTCTGTTTGGTTCTACAGGGAGGAGCTTTTACACACTAACGGCACATCCACACAACGATAAATATATAGGTATTAAATTTAAAAGAATCCACACCAGAACGTATAGTGTCGGGCCACATCTGGGCCGTGTGAATCCACGTGTACCGGATCTGGGCCGACACTATGTTGCTGTAACGGCACAGAGAAATTATAGTGGTTTTTTTTTACAGCTGAACCATAAAAACATCGATAGCCAATCAGAATCCAGCCTGAGAATTTAAAGTGACAGAGACAGAATTAAATGCCTTGATGTGTGGATGCTATCATAGTTAGAAGACCATAACTTTTTATCATACGACATGTTTTCTTTTTTATTTTCTTAATTCAAGTCAGTTGAAGTGTTGTAGACCAAGAAATAAGATGCTCGTCTGAAATTTCCACCAGTCATCATCCATCATTGCTGTTACTGATGTGTATAAATGTGATATCACCAGTTTTTGGTCATTGCCAAATGTCTATGTACAATATATAACATTTTATCAATGTGGAGTCTTTATTTTTATACAACCCCCCTTCGGACAATATGATCACGGAGACATTAGGACTTTGTATGTTTCACAACAGGGATAGACAAGTTGTAGTTGTTGTCTCTTTCTATTGAGTAAGTACCTCTATGCATTCGTGTGTTTTCGGACGTGTCTCGTTCCTTTCACTCAGTTGGAATCGTCCTTGTATGTGTTATGTGGAAAAAAAATGTTTTATGTCCTATTTATTCTCTCTGATGATGGTTAAGTGATTTAATAAATTTGTCAGTGAAATCCTCAAACGGCCATCACTTCCTGGCAGAGATCTTTAACACGGTTGGCTTGTGTTTTTTATTTATTTTTTATTCCTTAATTTGCTAAAAGGATGCAGATTTCTGTGCTGTTTATAGCCGCGCATTGTTAAAGACGCAGCCGCCATTTGATCCCAATCTCTCCAGTGGCTCGTTTGGCATCGAGAGGGCTAGAACGAGCTTGGATATTTATTTCTTTTTTTTCCGAGATTAATCACATTGATCTTATATCAGGGCACAGATAATGGACCTGGATCTGGCTGAGTCTGCGAATCGCCGGTCTGGCTTGTGACCAAATGCGTATCAAGAGTTCAACGCCTCTTTAGCCGAGAAACTCGATGCGGATCGGCACTGCGACACGGAGATCTGGAGATAAGCGTGTTTGCCCCGACCGGACAGAAATATTCAATCCATTAGCGTGCCAGGGTTCAGTCTGTTTACTACTTTAAAGTTTGATTCTGTTGCACGGATGAGATAGCTGCTGTTTGGTGAGTGGCTGTGTGTCTCATATTTAAAATGACAGTGTAACTAATGCACCCCTACCCAAATAATGGCAATTTATGTGCACCCATGTGCACCCCTACCCAAACAATGATAATTTATGTGCACCCCTACTCTAACAACAGCAATTTATGTGCACCCCTACCCAAAAAGGGCAATTTATGTGCACCCCTACCCAAACAACGGGAATTTATGTGCACCCCTACCCTAACAACGACAATTTATGTGCACCCCTACCCTAACAACGGGAATTTATGTGGACCTCTACCCTAACAACGGCAATTTATGAGCACCCCTACCCTAACAACGGCAATTTATGTGCACCCCGTCCCCTACCCTAACAATGGGAATTTATGTGCACCCCTACCCTAACAACGCCAATTTATGTGGACCCCTACCCTAACAACGGCAATTTATGTGCACACCTACCCTAACAACGCCAATTTATGAGCACCCCTACCCTAACAACGGCAATTTATGAGCACCCCTACCCTAACAACGGCAATTTATGTGCATGCCTACCCTAACAACGGCAATTTATGAGCACCCCTACCCTAACAACGGCAATTTATGTGCACCCCGTCCCCTACCCTAACAATGGGAATTTATGTGCACCCCTACCCTAACAACGCCAATTTATGTGCACCCCTACCCTAACAACGGCAATTTATGTGCACCCCTACCCTAACAACGACAATTTATGTGCACGCCTACCCTAACAACGACAATTTATGTGCACCTCTAGCCTAACAACGGGAATTTTTGTGCACGCCTACCCTAACAACGGCAATTTATGTGCACCCCTACCCTAACAACGACAATTTTATGTGCACCTCTACCCTAACAACGACAATTTATGTGCACCCTTACCCTAGTAACGACAATTTATGTGCACCCCTACCCTAACAACAGTAAATTATGTGCACCCCTACCCAAACAATGGCAATTTATGTGCACCCTTACCCTAGCACCCCTACCCTAACAACAGTAAATTATGTGCACCCCTACCCAAACAATGGCAATGTATGTGCACCCTTACCCTAGCAACGACAATTTATGTGCACCCCTACCGTAACAACGACAATTTTATGTGCACGCCTACCCTAACAACGGCAATTTATGTGCACCTCTACCCTAACAACGACAATTTATGTGCACCCCAACCCTAGCAACAGCAAGCACCCCTACCCAAACAATGGCAATTTATGGAAGCCACATAAGAAAAAAAAATCTTGCTTTTGTAAATTAAAAAAGTCGAAATTATGAAATAAGGCTACTAAATCAGAACCACGACAAACAAAGTCGAAATTATTGCTTAAAAAGTCACAATTTAGACTTTTAATTGTGTCTTTTTAATGTCTTAATTGTTGTGACTGTTATAATTTTATCTTGTAGCTCATAATTAGGCCTACATAAAAAATCAAGACTTAATAGGCCAATGTCAAAATTTATACCTTTTGATGTCATCAGTTTGACTTTTTATATCACTAAATGTGTTTTATATAAAAATTATTTATATAGACTTACTATATCAGAATGTCTACTTTTTATGTAATTATTTTGACTTTTTATGTCTGATTGTGATTTTTAAATCATATGGACATAACTATCTGGTGTAATAGAAATGGGACCTTCTAAGCCCAGTTCCACCACATAATAAAACAAATATGCTTTGGAAAATCTAAAATATGACATACAAATCATAATCTGTAATACAAAGTAGAAGGCTATGGCAAAATTCCTTTCATGTCATCAATTTTACTTTTTAAATCTGATTATGATTTTTTATTTTTTTATAAACAAACTTGTTTGGAAAACCATAAAAAATCTAATCAGAAAAAAGTCAAGACTTTGTATGTCAAAATTTTTTAGTTCCTTTTTTAGTTCATACATAAGATTCCAAAGCATGTTTGTTTTATATGTGGTGGAAATGGGCTAGAAGGTCCTAATGCATATTCTATTTCACTAGATATTTATACCTCCATATCAAACTCAAGAGTTTTAATTAGAAAATTCTTAGATATTCCTCATGTCTGGTAATCTTATTGTAAACCACTATCTGGAAACTTCCCCAACAGTCATACATTCTCTATATGACATGATCTTTGCTAAGTCCCTTCGAAAGTGTTGGAGGTACAGAAGTACAGAATGCAACTTTTTTCTTCAATATTGACTCTTCAATATTTCTTCAATATAATATATTATATTATATATACATATTATGTTTTTTGGCGAGAAATTGCGTATAAACGTCAAACATGTTTCGTCACATCCAAAAATAGAGAAAAGTTGATCTGACTGCTTTTTCTGCATGTTTGAGTGGCAGGTGTGTGTGTGTGTGTGTGTGTGTGTGTGTGTGTGTGTGTGTGTGTGTGTGTGTGTGTGTGTGTGTGTGTGTGTGTGTGTGTGTGTGTGTGTGTGTGTGTGTGTGTGTGATCCGTTCCATCTAAACTGGTTATATCTCTTAAGCCAAGTAAATGTTTTATAAGCAGAAGGATAATCTCTCTCTTTACTTATTATAATTTAGTTATGAGAAAGAACCATTTTCATCCACTTTGAGCCGCAGCACAAACAAAACAATGTTCTTCGCAAAATGCAGTTTTGTTTTTAACCGCTAGAGGACCAAAAGTTATAATACAATGGGTTTTTTATTTTTATTGTATGGTGTTTCAAATCATTTTATATTTTACAAAGATGTTTTTTGCATTTAGGCATGTTAACAGCAACACAAATGTTCAATTTTTTTTGCAATCTATATATCTGTTTATTAACCAATGCGTAAAAAACGGACGATGGATGAATTCGTGAAAATGCAAATGCACGCTATCGCTATTACTGTAGGTGGCGCTAAAAGAGAAGGAGAAATAGCATTTGGGACTTCCCCTTACTAAACGGTATTTACATACTCCAATGGCGTTCAGATTTGTATTAGCATTATGGTGTTTATCAAACAATAACAATACCACAAGAGAGCAGGGTCTCATAGCAAAAAAAAAAAATTCTGTTCATAAACGTCTAGAAAAAGTCTAGTTGTATGTAACAGCAGCGGCTCTGGGCACGTGACCAAAACAGCGACTCTTATTGGTTAAACAGTTTTCTTCGCGGAAAGTGCGATGGAAGACCAAAACAATTCGTCGCCATGACTGCTCATGTTGGTGTGTACAGGCCCTAATAATGATGGAGGTCGTGCTGAGGGACTCCAAATAATCACAGTAGGTAGGTCTATGTGTGTGTGTGTGTGTGTGTGTGTGTGAGCTTGGACTTTGTTCAGTGGTGTTGCTCATGTAAGAAGTAGGCAAATTGTGAATGTTGATACAGTTTAGACTCTATAGTGTTGGTGGAGGTTACCGAACACACTTCAGTTGTTGAGGACATTGCTTGGATTTCCAATGAACACACCGTATTTTGCTCATCTTTTTGTGGCATTACTGTTAAAAAAAGCACACTTTCTTTGATGAGAAGTGGCAAAACTATAGACGCTTGTTTCCGCCACAGAATGAGAATGGGCTCTATGCACGGTGGTATTTCCGGTGAAGGATTAAGGATGCTCGATAACTTCCGCCGATCGTAGAGTCCAATGCAATACCGAGAATTTATATTGAATTTTATACTCCATGGTTATACTAAAGAAACATTAGTCACAAAAACAGATAAAACAGACATCCCTCGTTGTGTTCATGCTTCTTTTTAAAATTATATTAAATAAACATAACTATATATAAAATTACATCTAAACGTAAGAACGTTTCGTTTCAAAGACGGGATTACAGTAAATTTT